TTGTGGAGCCCCCACCATCCACAGAAACATCCCAAGGGCTTCAATAGATGCGGATTTGCTATTAGATTTCAGCCCATATGATTCTACCAACACATCATGCAGACTGTGGAACATATCAGGGCTCATTCTGAACATGTTATAACAGGCCTTCCTATTTCCTAGTTTACTATGTACCCATTCCAAACCACTAATGACTGGCTGTCTATACTCTGACCTTGACAAGTGCTTGTCAATGTGGTAGGCGTACTGGTACATACCGTACAGGAAAGCATCGTCATCATCCTCCGCCTCCATCCAGTCACTGATGAACTCGTCCAAATCATTCTCATAACAATCTTGCCTCCAGGACATCATCCCAGTCACTATTGCTTGGACATCCTCCTGTCAAAACGAAAATAGTTCACGTCGGGCCAACATCAACTAGGCAACATTAGCATGCATCCCTATTCAAACTGACTCATGCCAGTTACTCAAACTCATGCACTACATACATCAACAGATCATAGCCATATCCAATCATACTACAAATAACCAGTTCAAGTGTTCGACATGACATACTTAGGTCAATGACCAAAGACACCCACCACACCTCACATAGTTCTAATGACATAACTTAGTAACTACGTAGAAAGCTTAACAAAATAAGGTCTAGGGGAGGACCCCGATGTATTGCTTAATCGTCAGCATCCTTCCTTGGGGTGAGGAGCTTATGAAGAAGTTCATAACAGGCTCACTCTGCACGATCTTGAGCACGGCCATCCACTCAGCTGGGGTCTCTTCAGTTGCACCACACTGTCTTGCTAATTGTAGCACTAGTTCCACCTTCCTCTCCAGCGCCTTGCTGTTGTCCTCAATTTTTTGGTTCCTCTCTTGCCACATTGCTGTCATCCTCTCAAGCCTGTGCCTTGAAATCTCATTGTGTTCCTTCATGTGAGCATCCATGGTCCTGACAGCGGGGCTCTTGGACCGCTTGCTCGGGCTGGAGGCAGTTGTGCTGGTGCTGCTTGCCCTCTTAGTACCGACACTAAGCGGCTTAAGTTGGTCGTCGTGCTCATCATTGGAGTCGTCATCCGAACTTTCACCGTCAACTGTATTGCTTTGGGAAGGACAGAACGACGTTGAGCCATCAACAGCGTTGCCGGCGAACATCCGGTCCAAATCGTCCAAGTACGGAGGCCACCCGTCCTTGAGCTTCTTCCACTCGGTGTCCCTGAAAACCCGCATAGGTGAATCATTGTATAGTAACATTTTAACAAAGACATGATTGAACATAAGATTGGTTACATACCACCGCATTTAGAGTCCCACCAAGCATCAGTAGCAAGGATGGAGCCATCGTCTCGCCTGCCTAAGCCAGTGCCTTTCCGGAGGTCGTTGATAAAATTCCACAAATGCTTGAGCTGGCATAACTTACTCTTGAACTGGTCCTTGTCATGAACCAAGGTTGTTGCTGCATAGTACCTTGCAATCAGATCTCTCCACCCCAACTTGTTCATGCAACATGGATACAGCCACATCGCCAATTTGGTGGCACCAGATTTGGCAAAACTTGCTTATATTGGGCTCTGACCAGTTCCCCCTGTCGTTCCTAGCCTAAACGATTTCATAAGAAATAATTTCACACCGACAAACAGGCTAAGTTGGGGAGAACAACAAATGCTTCGAACACAATAGTATACATGAGCAATGGAAGATAGACGATGGGTGAGGAAAACTACCGGGATGTGACCCACGGGGGTAGCATGCATCGGGTTGACGATGTCGTCGTCCACCTGTGGGATAGCCCCGCGACGCCGGCGACGCCGGCCCCTTCCTCCACCGTCGACGGCTGAGGCAGAGGCGCGACCACGATGGTCGCGTGGCACTCGGTCGCCTCCGACAGCTTCTGATGTGGGGCGGCCTCCCGTGCCGTCGCCGCCTCCTCCAAAGCGGGCGCTGGGAGGCTGCTCGTAGGTGAGGTTCCGCCGTCGAGGAACACGAACGGGAGGTGGCCCCATCTGGCTACCAGCAGGGTCTGACCGAGGGTCGGCGTCGTAGCCGTCCCATGGCAGCCCATCCCCACCGTCATTGAGGTCCGGGAATCCAGCCCCCGGCGAGGGGGTTGACGCCACCGGACCCGTGAAAGGGTGGCGCCGGGTCGGTGAAGCCCTCGTACACCGACGAACCCAAAGCGGGTTCGCCCCGCAGAAGTTCCGCGTCTGCGCGTTCTTCTGCCGGAGCCGCCGTCGAGTTATTGCCGCCTCCGTTGTAGCCGCTCATCGAAGCCGTCCATCTAGGGCCGCCGCGGCCGTCAACAATGATCGATCCGCCACGCCTCGTAGATCTACCGGCCGGGTGGTGGATCTAGGCGGTAGCGCGCGCTTACCTTCGCGGCGAAGCGGCGGGACCGCCGAGGCGAGATGCGTCGGGGAGAAGCGGGGCTAGGGTTGACCGTCCATCTAGGGCGCCGCGTGCCGTCAATGATCGATCCGCCGCGCCTCGTAGATCTACCGGCCGGGGTGGTGGATCTAGGCGGGCGCGTGCGCTACCTTCGGCGGCGAGCGGCGGGACCGCCGAGGCGAGATGCGTGCGGGGGAGAGCGGGGCTAGGGTTGACGAATGCGGGAATGGAGGGGTCGTGCCTGCCGATGCTGTGTGCCACGCGGTTTTGCGGCTGCCGTCGGGTCTCATGCCGAAAACGTACGCGGGCCGTTTTTCACCCCCCGTTTAGTTCCGAACTCCAAAAACTGGCCCAATTTCAGATTTTGGGTCCCCAACTAAACACGGGCTATATCTCTATCCAGGGCCGTGTTTAGTTCCGGCCGGAATCGGCGCCGCCGGAAATCAGTAGACACTGTAGCGTATTGTAGCATTTCGTTTGTATTTGATAATAATTGTCTAAACATTGACTAATTAGGCTCAAAACGTTCGTCTCGTAAAGTACAATCAAACTGTACAATTAGTTTTTGATTTCGTCAACATTTAGTACTCCATACATGTACCGCAAGTTTGATGTGATAGGGAATCTTCTTTTTGCATAGTGTCAAAGTTTGGAATTTGGTGGAACTAAACATGGCCCAGGTCACTAGCGGTGCAGCCGTGCATGACAAGCATGAGGAGCGATTTGTCCCATGCCAATGTGATAGGGATCAACCAGGAGTGATGTGTGTACACCCTGTCGCACGCACTGTGTCATGCATTGTGTGCAGCCTGATGAAACCGCCTGTTGGTGGTAAAGCAACCTAAGTTTACGTGTGGTCAAGTGTTCTTGTGATTCTGACATGTAAAAAGTACTAGTGAAGACCACTTTCACTTAGGCCTCGTTTAGTTCCGCCGAATTGGCGCCGGCAGGAACACTGTAGCGGCACTGTAGCTACAGTGTCGTTTTTATTTTTATTTGGTAAGAATTGTCCAATTGTTGACTAATTAGGCTCAAAACGTTCGTCTCGCAAAGTACAACCAAACTGTGCAATTAGTTTTTGATTTCGTCAACATTTAGTACTCCATACATGTACCGCAAATTTGATGTGACGGGAAATCTTCTTTTTACATAGTGTCGAATTCTGGAATTTGGGGCAAACTAAACGCGGCCTTACTTAGTTGGGCAAAAAGCCATGCTGTTTTTTCTACTCCTAGCTATTTCCTTTTTGAGAGGAAATTGTTTGGGTTTCCCCGGGATACGTACCTCTATATAGTGTGTGTGTGTACAATAAACCACACATATATAATTATTTTATGAACTATAAGTTTGATATATAGTAAATATCTATAACACAAAAGAATCATATACTGAAATATACTGCAACACGGTATATATGCATGATGCTGTTATAAACATAAACTAGTGTAAAAAGAAGCACTTATATATTTGTGTTGCAGTTGTTATGTTTTTCTTCCTTGCATTTCATCTATGTTTTGGCCACTTTTTGTGTATCAGAAATCATATTATTTTCACTCACACAACAACAATTTTAAATCAGTCCATGTAAAGGTGTAAATAGTATGTAAGAATATTCACTCCACATCCAAATTATTGTGATTTTAGGGGAACATGAACATTGATATCTTCACGCACCTTATTAAAGGGCCCGAAGAAGATTTTTTTGCATCAAATAGCCACAACATGAGCATGATTCGTGCCAAACGAAAGAGCAAAATCAAAGTACAAAAGACAAATAAACATGGGAAGTATTCGAAAATATGATAGATCTGACTTGGTATAGAAGAAGGTCGATGAAAAATAGATGCTGCAGTGGACGACCTCCAGACATGACCTAGGAAAATAATGGATTAAGCATAGTAAGATTTAACAATAACATGTTAGAAGCTTGAAATTCCAAAACAGGAAACTTAACCATAGTCACAATAATACCTGGAGGGGAGGATCAGACTGTACAATAAGATTGGAATCAGACATAGACCAAGCGAGACGAAGAGGGCTATGGCGACATCTACTTAGGGCATGTACAACCCACAGACAGTGGTCCGTCTCTAAGCACCTCGAATCTATCATACAGACGGGTATAAAAACAAGTCATACAACCCACAGACAGAGGGGCTGTCTCTAAGCTGTTTAATGCTTTACGTGTAGCTAGAATCCACTATAAATAAATTTTGTATACCATTGTGTGGCTATTTGCATGTAAAGCAGTTATGGGAAAAGCTGAAGACCATTTGGTTAGAGCAGCTATGAAACGGTAGCTTGTGTAAGAAATACATGTAATGACCCGGAGGGCCTGGAGATTGTTTATATGCAAATTGCTCCTTAAAAACTATTTTGTTCACTGATTCGTATGTAAATCACAAATTTAGAAAGGAAATACCACATAATTCGCATGTAAATGACAAATTTAGAAAGGAAATACCACATAAATAAAACAAATACTAAATTTATGTTTGGTACGTATTATTAAAGCATCCTTTTATTAAATTTCATCAACATAATATAAATCAAAACCACTAGAGAACCAAAACAACTATTTTAAATGAAAAACACTACAAAACCAAACCAAATCATTACTGCTATATTGCCTCACCATTACCCTGAGATGTTCAAATTATACAAAGATGTTCAAATTATGCATAGTTCCCTGTTATTTCTCACACGCACGTGCGTTGGAGATGGCCAAGCATCACATCCAGCACTCCAGCGCGTACGTCGCTTGTTGCTGCTCCGGCCTCCGGGCGATGCAGTTCGAAGCTCGTGTCCCTCGTTGGCATTTCGTCGAACATGCTGCGAGCGGACACGAGATCACCGGCTCTGACGCAGAGAAACGGGACTCACCGAAGCGTTGCGGGCATGCGTGCAAAGAAACGGGACCTGGGTCATCAGCGCAGATGCGAACGCAGTAGTTTCCTCGCGAGCGGTTGGGGGCGTCGGGCATGGCGACGCCGCTGCACTCGCGTCCGCGCACGCCGGTGGTGGACGACCAGCTCCCCCGCAGAGCACGCCGGGGGAGGAGGACCAGCTGCACTCGTGTCCGTGATCGCCGGTGGTGGAGGACCAGCTCGCGCCCGCGGCGACGGAGCTCCGAGGAGGCAGAGCACACCCGCGACGGTGCTTGGCCATGCCCGCCGCTGGGCAGGGGTCGGAGCCGCGCCTGCTTCTCGACGGGGTAGCCAGAGAGGGAGGGGTCGCAGGGTCACCGGAGCCGAGCGCGGGAGGGGCCGCGGGGTCGCCGGAGTGTCGCCACCGCCCGGAGAGGGAGGAGCGGCGCCGCCTAGACGCTAGACGAGAGGCGCTCGCGACGGGAAGATGTCACGGATGGGGAAGAAAGAAAGAACGAACGAACCGGCGCGAAGGCACACGGGATCCGCGCGCCATCGAGTCTTCGTACAACGCTGCTGGAGCCGGCATCTCGGCCTCGGGCCACGAGTCTTCTGGTGTCGGCGGGGTTCGTTTTTCCAAAAAATACATCACGGAGACGGGTCGAAGAGACGCGTTGTACATGGCCTAGGAGCGTTGCGATGTCAGTGTTTGGCGATGGAGATGAATGATTTGCGAGGGGGGATGGTCGTTGGACCGGCACTATTTATAGCCGCGGGCGAGCGGCGAGGTGCCTGCGCCGCCACCGCATACTGACGTGTCGGTGCGTGTCGTTATTGAGAAGAGAGTTTTCGCGCCGCATTCCGCGGTGCACATTGTCGTATACAGCTGTAGCAGTATTACCATAAGATGGCGGCGGGCGCAATCCTGTGGGCGGCGAAATAATGTACCTCTTGGCAATTAAACCTTTTTTTGTCATATTTCAATGCAAGCATCTCTTTGGCAAAGTACCATTGTAAATTTTCGGGTGGAATTTTTATCTAGTTTTGGTATATGCTAAAATAATATTTTTTCTACATTTCCTTTTGTAGTTTTTCTTTTTTATATTGCGAAAAATATTATTTGGCTACTATTAGTAGTTACTACGAATTTTGTTAATCGACTATGTGTGGCTAAATTCTGTACGTGACTGTGCATGGTAAACTACCCGCTGTAATATCACACGAGTGTAATAATTGTGTTTAGTAGAATGCATGCCAGCACTTGCATACATGGAAAAAGCATGTACGGCCATGGCCGTGTGCAATCATGAGCGTGAGTGTTGTCTGTGGCACACGTACACACACAGCTGGGGATCGCTGTTGTTCCTTCCTTCGTTCGTGTCATCCACGAAACTAAGACCCGTGTGCGGAGAGTAGTACAACCAACAGTCACGCCAAATAATAAAGGTACTTTTCCATCCCAAACGACAAGTATTACACCAACAACTGCCTTGCACTAAAATCCACTGGCTTACCACAACCAACAGTCACGCATGTGGTACCTAGGCCTAGGCGTGTAGTGTATATACGTATGCACTGTGTGTCTATCATCTGGAGTATCTTCATCTACAAGATCATCATCATCATCATCATCTATATCTCTATCGTTTTATTATTATTATTATATATCTTGTTGCTAATAAACACCGCAAGCCATTGCCTGCTGTTTCGATCTATCTCTATATCTGCTAATCATCGAAAAGCAAAGGAAAGAAGAAGTAATATATAAATCCAGTAGCAGTTTTTTTGCATTGCTTGCCAGCGGCCTAAAGATATGACGATGATGATGCTGTTGCGCGTTTCTCATCTGTTAGCTTTCGATCCAAGCGATAGATGCTCTAACCGCAGACGACGACGACCACGCACTCGGGCCGGCCGGCGAGCGTTTCTGTGAAACGGACGGCGACGACATCGACGGGAGGACACGGCAGCGTCCGCAGCAGGCTGGTCCGCGCGTCCCTGCGTGCCCTGAGGCCGCCTGTAATGGCGTACGTTGGCGGTTTCCCGGTTTCCGTTGGGGAAGCCGACAGCAGATCCCACACCAGCGGCACTTCCGCGCGGCGGTCGGCGGCGGATGCATGTGGCATCGGCAAGTGCATTGGTACTGTCTCATATACGCAGCGTGTTCAGCTGATTTCGGCGGATTTAACAGTATTCTGTGATATTTTCATGCAGAATCACATAATTACAAGAAGACTTAGGCTCTGTTTGTTTATCTTATAATCCGTCTTTTTCAGCTACGAAACAGTGTTTCGGTTTGTTTTTTCAGCGAAGCGAACGAGGCCTTAAAGGTAACAAGTTCAATGAATTATCTTTTAAGTTGTCTCGTAGTAATTCTAGAGTCCTTAATTTGTGGATATAACAATATAATGTTGTGAGTTGCATGACAACAATCACTTCTACAATGGTGTGTAAGTTGTCTCATAGTCCTAAATTTTAGCTCATGAGAAACAACCACCTCTTTCTCTCTCCCCTTTCTTTTTCCTCCACGTCAGCAAAAATCCTACGTGTCACTATATGAGAATCCTACGTGGCACTGCATGAGACGGAGTATGAGACCGCTGACGTGTAGCAATGTACCTCATGCGCGCAGGCCGCAGGCGCGAGAGCTGACGCACGTGCATGTGTTATGGCTAGCGTCGCATCGCATGCAAGAGCGACCCTCACGCCTGGGAAATAAATTGGGTGGGCGACGGGCGCACCCACGCCTGCGTACGCTCCCCTCACTGATGGATGTCACGTGGAGCCCAACGACATCCGTCATGTTCGCTTGGCTTATAAGTCGTACTTTTTCAGCCAACGAACAATATTTTTCTCTGACAATAAATCAGCCAATAGTACTTTCAGTCATAGCTTATCAGCCAAGCGAACAGAACAATCGCACGGCAGCTGTGAAACATCAGTTTGCAGTACTCTAACAGCCTGTTCGGCTGGGGCTGAAACGATCGTATACGATCGTGGATTATTACTGCTGGTTGATTTGGTGTGAGAGAAAAATACTGTTACGATCATTTCGAACAGGCCGTAAATCAGCAAACCCAAGCTCCAACTCCAGATGCGACGCACGCAATGCCGTCTGTGTGACGACTTACGCTCGTGTGGCCGTGCCACGCACGCGATCGATCGATATGTCAGCTGCTACGAGGCGATCGAGGAGGCGTACCTACATAGGTGCAGAGCTTTGCATCCGTGTTCGCTGGTCTGAACCCGTTCAGCCAGCCGGCTGGTTTAAGTCACGCGTTACTGTTCATCAAACCAGTCGAACAGTGTTTTTCTTTCACAATAAACCAGCCGAAACAGTATTTTCAGCCAAGTTTCAGAATAGCGAACTGGGCAGAAAGCAGCAGCCGGCCAGAAAGCAGTAGCACGCCGGGAAGCAGTAGCAGGCCACGGGCACTCCTCCGAGCGAAAACGGGCGGCGGCAGCTGGCCACGGCCGCCTCCACGCTGGGGCCACGGGATGCCTCCGAGCAGCAGCAGCCGGCCACGGCCACCACGCAGGGGCCACGGGCCGCCTCCGAGTGGCAGCAAACGGAAACGGCCACGGCCACCACGCAGGGGCCACGGCTGCCTCCGAGCGGCAAATTGACGTCGCTAGAAGGCGACCGCGCGACCTGAAGGCTGTGTAACTTTAGGTGCCTGGAGGTTTTTTTTTCAAGTGATAAAAGATTGAGAGGTGAGTTTACGAGTTGTTGAAGATGTGTTTTTTTTATTATTCCCAAAATTCATGGATTGGGAAGGATTATTGGCTACTGGAGATGCTCTAACACTAGTACACATGATAAAAAAAAGACTTAGGGCATCATCTTAAGTCTGTAAATGAGGGCAAGTGCATTGGTATTGTCTCATAGATAGTCTCATGCAGTGCCACATAATTATGAGAAGACTTAAGAGGTAACAAGTACAATGTATTATCTTTTAAGTTGTCTCGTAGTAATTATAGAGTCCTTAATTTGTGGATAACAATGGAATGTTGTGAGTTGCATGACAACACCCACTTGTACAATGGTGTGTAAGCTGTCTCATAGTCCTAAATTTTAGCTCATGAGGTGGTTGTTTCGCGAAACAACGACCTCTTTCTCTCTTCCCTTTCTTTTTCTTCCACATCAGCAAAAATTCTACGTGGCACTGTATGAGACGGAGTATGAGACCGCTGACATGTAGCAATATACCTGAGAGAGACCAGAAATAAAGCCACAAAATTGATTTTCCGAGACGCGGTCGTCTTACTGTCTTAGAACGTTCGCATCTATAAATCATTTTTAAAGACAGATATTTACCTGGAAACCGTCCATTATTTACTCATGCAGTCTCTAGATGTGCCCGCTTTTATATTAATTAAAATAAAATAGAGTGTCTTTAAAGTCATTATTGCGTGGTAGCGTAAACTCAGAACCAAACTGAAACACGTTCGTAAAAAAGTTACTACCTCCGTTTATTAGTCTTACTTATATCAAGACACATTATATATTTAAATGTATAGTAAAATCTACGCATAAAATGTCATAATTTTTTTTTCACGAATACGGACGAAGACGAGTGTGCATATCTTTGTATTAAGAAGTAGAGTATATTTACAAGATTGTCGGAGACCGGCTGCTGCGACAAGTACTAGGGATTACATTTTGATAGATAACAATCTAGGATAACCAGTAATCTTGCGGAGCCTATGACTGTGCCAAAGCTCGAAGGCCGGCTGCTCCTGCTTCAATCCAGCGATCGGCTTCAGCCTTTATGATCCGGAGAAGCTCGTTCGCGCTTGCCGTGGAGTCCCTGAACCACCTGGCATTGATTTCTTTCCATATTTCCCATGAGATGAGCGCGAACAGTGAGTCCAGCCCGGCGCGCTGATCACCATTGAACATGGAGCACAGTCTCCGCCACCATCTCAGGGTTGTAGGCGCCACCTGAGGGCACTGCTTGCCGAGAGCGGCCAGGGTGTGGAACCAAAACCTCCCTTGTAACTGGACACTCCGCCAGTATGTGATCAATTGTTTCTAGTGCTTGGTCGCAGAGATAGCATTCCTCTCGTGCCTCCGGCCAGGCCATACCTCTACACTGCTAGAAAACAGAGCTTTACTCCCGGTGGGGAACCCCCTCTAGTCCCGGTTCCCCACCCGGGAGTAAGCATCCGGGACTAAAGGGGGTCCTTTAGTCCCGGGGCAGGAACCGGGACTAAAGGGGGCCCATTTAGTCCCGGTGGATAACACCAACCGGGACTAAAGGTCCTCCCAGCTTTAAAAAAAATAATGCCTCACACCGC